CCCACCCCCAACTCCACCCCTCATCAACCTATTATTTCTCCGTATTACGTTACGTCGCGTTACGTTACGCGCCGCGTCGCTGTTCGAGACTCGTCGGCACGGCAAAAATGATGATACCTCCTCCTAGAAACAAGAGAGCGCGAGATCGCCACGGGGATGTTCACGGCTCCCACATGTCGCGCACATCCCCCGCTTTCTTATTCCCGATCGAACTCTGCGGGGTGGTAGATAGGCAGGTTCGATCTTCCGATACAAAGCGGCCGAGGAACGCTTCCATGTCAAGAATCGCAGCCCTTCAACGATGTCGAAAGTGGATTTTTCACGAAGGCGCAACAGCTAGAACACGATGATCGGGCGAATAATGAGAGATCGTTGATCGATTCGAAAGAATGGAGAAACGCGACAAGTTCGTTCTTTTCGACGATTAATCTCCCGTTTCGCGCGACGTATCGCGATATGAAAATCGAGAGCTATCGTAAATCGATCAAGCTGAAGTGATATATCTTAGCGCGGGTGTGTTCTCTCTCTCTCTCTCTCTTTTTCTCCCCCGAATTTGTCTCTATTTTTATGTGTAACGCGCGCATAGTTAATTAGCGGACGGCGTTGCACTGCCGGGCAACGATAGAAAGTTACCTGGAAAACTCGCTAAAGCGAATCTAGACAGTCTTTTTATAGCGGCTTCTCTTTGCCCCTCTCGCTACCCTCCTGTCCGCGCCGTGTATCCCAATTTAGCACTCCCTTTTCTTCGCTCTCATTGAAACGTTGGACAGACGTCCGTGGATTAATGCAACGTTTCGTGACGTCGGCCAGCACATAGCGGGTAATACGATAGTGAAATTTTAATACCGTGGCGCACTTTTTCCCCGGCTACGTACCTTCCTGCACGGTAGGTATTATCCGCTTTTTCAAAAAATATTTTATGCGCGGCACGACTCCGCCGTAATGCGGATGCGTGTAAAACAATTACGTCTGGGTGAAATAATCAAGGGACGTCTTGGGGAGGAGAGTCCTTCGTCATGTTTCCGTCCCACATTTCGCTTCTGTCGATCGTCGACCCCCCTCCCCCCCTCTCGTGCTTTCTCACAAACCGGTCTCTTCTTTTTTTCTTGGTTTCAGACGCAACTACGAACTTGGTCGATTAAGCCTTCTTGGGAACGATCCGCCGCAGCAGACGGACGGAACAGAGATACGCGTATATTGGTAGCCGATGCGTGGTCCACCAGCATGAAACCGTTTCCGGTTTTCGGGCGTTGTTCCGGTTGAATTTGGAAAGAGGACTGTACGATGAGGATGGAACGCAACTTTACAACATGGACAGACACGTACAGGCGTGACAGGGTGCTGCCCTCTGCAGGCTAAAATTAGAGGGTGCTGTCCGAAGTTCTCCGCTACACGTTTGCATTTCCTATGCACTATTTCCCACGTGTAGGTGCGTACAGTCCCGCGCGAAACTCGCCGTCGGCTTTCCGCGGCCGACGCGCGTGTACGTGCAAAATTTATCAGCTTATCGTCGATTGATTTATTGCGCGCAAGGAGAGTGGAATAAAAAAAAAAATCGAAAAAAAAAAAAGAAGAAAAACGCACCGGATTCATGAATGAAACTGTTTTCGCCGTCCCAACTCTGCACGCTAGCGAGCGAGCGCGCGCGCGCGTATCGCCGCGACTTTTTATTCGATGATATTTTATGAAAGCGATTTGTTAACGCGTGCGATTCCAGGGAAAAAAATGTTTTCTCAACCGATCTGTGCGCTTTGTTGCAGTTTCGGCGGAACTTTGCGGCGATACGCGTATACGATCGCCTTTCGGGGGATATTGAATGATAGACGATGCTTTGGCGCGTGTATGTCTGTACGAGTAGAGCAAAGTTTAATTAATCGAGATGCTAATTCCGTATCGCGCTATCGCGCGTGATGTTCTACGCGCAACGTCGCGGAGATAGAGTCGCTGACGGATGCGGTATTCAAGGGCGATTTATATCCATTTTACACAGAGCAGCTCCATCAATCGCGGAATCAAACGGATTAGCGCTGGTCGTCGGATTATTTCACCTTTTTCTCCATTGATTTCGAAATCGGTTTCCGACTATCTTTTTCCCACCTAACGATCGGACCGTGTCATCCAAGACACCCTCGTCGTCACGGCGGGGGGTTCGACGAATTTCGCGGAGGACTGTACGCGCGTACCCTCTCCAGAGGCATTAGACGCAGTGTATCGGCGGCCGTGCTCGTGCGCGAGTATTAGACACCATGCCCGCAGCTCATTTGCCAACTCCGGCAAATTTACCAAATTTAAATGCAAAATCGGCCGGTGCTCCGCCGGTTCGATGGAGGCGCGAGCGAGACGGCGAGCGGAGCGCCGAGAGAGGAACGGGGAAAGAGGAAGGCGGACAGAGGATGAGAGACAGAAAGACAGATATAGAAGCGAGGAGAGAACGAGCGAGCGAGAAAGGGCGAGGGGTGGGTGGCGTTAGTGGTATGGAGAGGAAACGCACTGGTGAGACCGAGAGGGTAGCACGAGCGCGATATAGGTAGATAGAGGCGCGATAGTGGTGCGAGAGGGTGAGGGCGGAAGAGGAACGGAGACAGAGACCGTGGTAGGAAACTCAAATGGTCGCAATGGTGCGGTATAGTAGTCGCCTGGTTGTCAGGCGCAGCATGCGATTGGTTCGCCGACCGTGTGTTACCTCTCTCTCCTCTTCGCGTGTCTATTCGCTATCGTCCCGTCTTTCTTTCGCGCGTACCCTGCCCAACGCGTTCCGACTTTCTCGTCACCCCCCGCAAGCCCCTCGCGGCCGCGTTTTCGTTGCCGTCGCGCGAGGCTGTCCGCGATCCTCCAAGTGAGAGCTGATGTCTTCGACAGTCGGCCGAGGAAAAGTTTCGCGGGCGACTGTCGGCGCGAGTAATGCAACTAAGAGCCGCCTTCCTCTTTTAAATGCGGAAGTTTAAATAGTTATGCGCCGCAGCAATTCGCAGCGAAACGGCCGAGCGGACCCGCGCATTTGTCGCGTATCATCCTCGGCGGGATTCGAGGATCGCGGAATAAACGCTCCTTCATATTTTCTTTCATCTCTCTCCGGTCTGATGAAATGACAAGTGAGATCACTTTCGGCGTGGAATCGCGCACCACCTTTTCGACTCTTCAACGACGCAGCCGATAGTTCGTACCGCCCGCAACGGTCACAAAACGTCGACTGATCGTGCGTTTGCATTTGCGTTTTTTTTTCTTTTTCGACGCACCGTTTTACGAGTATATTAATTTCGGGAATAATAAAATATCGCCGAGCGCGTTTATCCCGCTGTAACAATTACCTGGATTTATCCCGTTGTGTTTCGGTCCGAGTGTTTCTTTTTAGCCGTTGTGTCGGTGTGCAAGATTGCAAAAACCGGCGTGTACATCCGGCGGCTCGCGCTATCGTTTAGCAGAGGGGGGGGGGAGGGGAGGGCTCGCGGATATAAAAAGGTACACGCGCGGCGCTCGATCGCGGATCGGTGCGGCGCGGCGCGTTAATTCCGCGGGAAAGAAGATACGTTACCGGACGCGTCCGGTTTCGAGCGGATCTAAATCCTCGGCGGAGAAAACGGCCCGCACTAAAATCGTCAATCAATGTCTCACGCCGCGGCCCCGCCGGTCCCCTTCCCCTGCCGCCCCCGCCGACGGTACCGTCGATCGCTCGTCGTCGCGCGGGCACACACAGCCAAAGGGTTGCCAATTATTATTCGCGGTACACTTCGCACCGTTTTGTTGTTCATCGGCAGCGCCGTTTATTATTCATCGTTCATCATATTGTGGTGCCCGTTACAACGCGCAGTTACAACACGACGATGGGCGGAATACGCCGGGCCTGCGTTGTTTCGCATAGCGTTACAGCGTAACGTCGACGTTACGAATGGTACAGAGGGCGAAAGCGCGCGCGCGCGCGCTCACTCGCTCGCTCGCTCGCTCGTCCGTCCGCCCGCCCGCTCGTCCGCCCGCACCCGCGTGTACACGCGCGTGTGCGCGTGTCGGTACACCTCGTGTACGCTCGTCAAAATACAAAGTGAACACGAGTCCGCGCCATGGGGACGTTTATTGTGCACTCGTACGTTGTTTTATCGGCGTTACATTACGCGATAGTTTTCAGTACTCCGTCCCCTCCCTCCTTCCCCCTCCCTCCGCCATGCTTCTTTTAATAATGCGCATTACGATAATATCCCTTTGTGGCCGATGCCCGAGGGTGGGCGCGCGGGGGAAAGAGCGCTCGGGATGGAGGAGGCGACGAACACCGCAGCGCGGTTTTGATATTTATACGTTCGACGTCGGCCACTCTCTCTCTCTCTCTTGCGCGCGCGCCCCACGAGATGAGCGAGCGAATGTAAAACTCCGACCGACCGTCGCTCGGTTCTTGCTCGGCGATAATTATTTTGTAATTAAGGCCCCGCGCGTTCGATGGCAATCGGACGCCGATACGCGCCGATGTGCTGGATCTGTTCCTGAAGAAATTCGCGTGCGTGATGACAACGACGATGACGACGACCACATGTATTTATTACGGTCTGATTATGTGCGATGCTCGTAATCTTAAAACAGGAGAGTTAATTATAAATCAGCAGATGGCGGGCACACTTGCCGGCGCGCTCGCGCACACCCGCGAATTATAATTAAAACGAAGATGCGCAAATATTTGTGGGGTTCATCTTTTTTTTCGTGCACGAGACGCCGCCGCGTACTAATTTTAACAAGATCCTGGGTGTCGGGCGCACTGTCAGCGCTCTCTCGCATTGTTTGCTTTACGCGTGAAATATTTTTGATATGTTAATACCACCGCCAGCGTGTACAACATCGGAGCATACGTTTCGTACGCGCGTTCGTACGCGGTGCATATGTGAAATTTATATGCAATCGATTGAAAGTGCGGATTTGCTTTGTCGACGTTACGGAATATTAACGGAGGAGCTGTTTATGGAAGGAGACGAAGATACGTGGACGTCCGCGCGAAGGAGGAAATAAGATCGGAACGAGCTTTCAAAATAGCTCGTTGTCCTCGTTAAAAACATTTCACGTCTCATTAAAGATTCCTCAATGCTTCATTAAAGCATCGCTCGTATGATTCACTTGCATCGCTCGCCCGAGTACACATAAGCCCGTACAAATATATTTTTCACCGCGTAATTTATGATATTACACGTGTTTGTAATTTTAACAGCTGCTCCGATGACGCGAGTGTATTGTAATTCCGCGGAATGGCTGCACTTACACGAAGAATACCGCCCGCACATTTTAACTCGTGCAATTGCGTGCGCCGTTAAATGCAAAGTGCGAGTGTGTTATAAGGACTCGTAATTCAAGGAACGCATGTGCACAAATTCGGAGCCGGGGTGTCTCGCGCGGTAAATTCGGAGCGCGTGGAATAATGAGGACGAACGTCGCCGGCGTGACTGGAGGGGCCGGAGGAAGAGAAAAAATCTTGGCCGACCAAACTTCGGTATTAATAGGGGAAATCCGGAATGCGTCCGACACTGAGAATATATCTCCGCGCTCCTTCTTGCTCTTTCGTTCCAGTGGTGTAATTTTAAATTGCCGCGAAATTTATGGAAACCCGTCTCCACACATTTCTCTTTCTTTTTTTTCACCCCTGTCTCTTCATCTCCCTCCCTCTTTCTCTCTCTCTCTCTCTCTCTCTCTCTCTCTCTTTCTCTCTCTCTCTCGCCCTATGATTATATCAAGTTCATGAAATAATAAGCAACGTAAAAAACTTTCGCTTTTCGCAGTGTGTCGTTCGTAAAGTGCAATGCATAAAAGCACGTTTGAAAATTTCAGTCGTACGGAATGCTCATCAGAATGACTTTTGCATTCGGAAGCGTACTACAGAGTGGTTTTCACAATTTTGCATGTAAAATTTTTAAATAACTTCGCTCGGCATTCTTTGACTGTTATATAGATAATTCTTCCTATCCCGTTGTATTTTTTTCTTCTTAGATATTAGTGACACCGTCAACGGTTATTATAACCATCCATCCCAAAGAACTGTCTCTCTCTCTCTCTCTGTCTCTACTCTACTCTCTTGCAGCCCTCGGACAGCCTCTAACCCTTTACCAGCCGGCGATTCTTTCGCATCAACACGGGTGACTTTTAAAAATGTCTCGGCGCACACTCGCCGAACAAAGTAATTTAACACGAATTAACATAAATCACTCAAGTTCCGTTCGTGGGTTATTCGCTCGCTCGCGCGCTCGTCCGTTGCCTCGACAGTTCGCCATCCCTCAACGATCCCGGCTGCCACCCATCAGTATTACCCTCACCGGGTCCGAGCCAACGGCCGATTACAACGTCCCGGCAGAAATTTTCAATTTTCGAACTTTCCAGCCGTGGACTCGCGCGTACTTGTTGGAATAATTTCCAATCGACCGATTCCTTCCGCAATATCTTCGCCTTCCGTTTCGCGTCAGCATCGACGAGTTTACAATTTTCTGTCGTCAAACTGCCGACGGCACGCCGTGAGATCTGCTAGACGACCGTCGACGATCGTCGGGATCAAATCGAACGCGCGATAAACGAGTTCAAGCACGCGATAAAAGAATTCGCGCATATCGTTCTCCGTGTATACAATACACGGGATGTGTGTTAATTGCCGCCAAACTGAAAGGATTACCCGATGAACCGGACGTAACAACTTTTTCACAACTTTTCAATATTCGGCATTAAACTTTTTTTTTGTAATAAATCGTAATAACCGTTACGATCTTGTTAGAGATTAGTCCATTTCAAACGCACAAAGCGGAGAATAAAACTTTGACATTCTTATTGTCGATTCTATTCGGCGCCCCGCTCGCTCGTCCTTGTCCTTCCAAACGTATTGGGCGGCAATACAGAGGGATGAAGAGTAAGCGGGAAAAGAAATACTCGAAAGATTTGAGGTCGGCGAGGGTGCACCACGCTCACAATTTATTTTTCTACCCGCGCCCATCTCCGGGGAACGCGCGGGTATGCGGGCGTCATTAACGCCAACTTTAACCGCGCCTCGCATGCGTCTCACGGCCGATCCTCGCTCTCTTCGAGCTTTATTAACCATTTGCGGCGAGCTGACCTCTCGCTATCCAATAACCGCGTGGCTAGCCAGTCGTTGCTTTTTATTGTCTCGGATAAGACCAGGTGCAACGCCTTCATACGCGATGGCGCGCACGTACGCCGATCGGGTTTACGACGCCCAAGATGCGCTTTGTTCGCGATCTCGATACCGTAAACGTCATATCGCGATCGCCCTACGAGCTTTATCTGTAATTTTCGCCGCGACGTGGAGATGCAACAACGTTAGCTTATCATAAAAGAGGCGAGCACGTTTCTTATTCATCCCGCAGGCAAGTATTGTTTTTTCGCGCGGGCAAAGAAACGAGACTTGCGAGATTGTCACGGTAACGGTAGGATTTTATTTCATATACCGAGGACGGTTGGAAACGTTCGGAGATGACCGCTCTCTTGTTCTCTTCAGGACCGGTTGGGAAAAAGCAGTCGTCTTGAACGGAACGAGTTTGTCTCTCGCGGACCCCCATGTAAGATTCGCGCGTGTAGCCTAAGATGAATGTATCCTTTCGTATGCAGATGACACCGTGTCATCGCGGATGCTGCAGAATATCTGCCTTGAAGAACGCGCTTGAAATATAAATTGAAATTTCCTCTGTAGTTTCACTCAGGCATCGGAGCGATTTAGATGCCCAAAAATAACGAGAGGAAAATAAATTTCATCCTTGAAAAAGTAAGAAAATAGCGAGTTAAAAGAATGAGTAGAAGTTGAGCTTTCCAAGCCATTTGTAACGTTGAAAATTAAATTATCTATTATAACGTTCCTCTAAGAGATTATATAAAAACACTAAGTTTATAATGAAAATCAATAAAAAGCAGAATTTGAATTTTGGAAAACAAAAAGGTTACGTGATACATAGAATCTAAAATTTACTTTGAACTCAGACTCAAGCACATATTTAGATACAATAAAAACTCCTTACAAAAAACAGAAATTAAATTCTTTGTGCTTTTTCAAACATAAACACATATTTAACGAAATAAAATAAAGAAACATTATTTAAGTCCAGTTAAACTACATTACAATATATTCCCAGGATATTGGATACTCCGGATCTTTTCACTAAATAAAACCAAATTTTAGAAATAAAAGAATATTTAAACTATAAAAAATTCAAAGGAGATTTTCATTAAAAACAGACTAGTTAATCAACTTTTTTACAAATAATATTCAAAGAATAACATTGAATAATATCCAATTTGAAGAGAGCAGTATGATATGTCCATGACGATCATTGTCTGTTTTCTTTTAGGTTCGTTTGTTAATAACTCGTTTTGGCTTACTGGACAAACGAGAATTACAGATGGACAAACGTGGATAAATCATAGACAATTGATTCCACTAC